TGAAATTGTTGTTATGAAAAAAGAGAAGAAAGAAAAAAGAGCAACCAGTCACAAAGCAAAGTTCAGATTAAATCATAAAATGTAACGAATGTCAAACGGGGAAGAACGTAACCCAAATTTTAGTGGCAACCAACATAGAATATGAACTATTGTACAAAATTCTGAATGCTCAAGGATCATGAAATGATTTCACTAAAAAAAAAAATCATGAAATGATTCGGTCCAGTTGGTTAGAGGTAATACAAACTAGCTGGAGTACCACAGTCAGAGGATTGCTCGGAGAGGAGTCCCACGTTGACTAATTAAGGGGTTCATCATGGGTTTATAAGTAGGAATACTATCTCCATTAGTATGAGGCCTTTCGGGGAAACCAAATGCAAAGCCATGAGAGCTTATGCTCAAAGTGGACAACCATTGTAGAGATTCGTGGTTCCTAACATGTATTAGAGCCATGTCCTTAACTTAGCCATGTCAATAGAATCCTCAAATGTCGAACAAAGAAGTTGTGATCCTCAAAGATGTAGTCAAAAGTGACTCAAGTGTCGAACAAAGGGTGTACTTTGTTCGAGAGCTCCAGAGATAATTAAGGGGTTGATCATGGGTTTATAAGTAATGAATACTATCTCCATTGGTATGAAGCCTTTCGGGGAAACCAGAAGCAAAGCCATGGAAGCTTATGCTTCAAGTGGATAATTTCAATTCGTGGTTCCTAACAAGTCATTCAAAAGAAAATCAACTTAATGTATAGTGGTGCTCATATAGCATTTGCAATGGATAATAATATGGGAGAACCTTGAAACAAGTACATCAGACCCACAAAGAAAAGCTAACCTGGGGAAGACCATCTCGCTTTCTTCCAGCTGCATTCATAACTCTAGCAATTTCAGCACGATCAAAACAGTTTCTGCTGCAGGGTCTGGCAGCAGAATACCACAAGAAATCTGCAACAGGAACTTCACCCTCTCTACGCATTTGTTGTCTTTCGGGATCAAGTAAAACAACTATTTGGTTTTTCTTCGGTACCTTTCTCGAGATTCTTGCAGGCAGGCCAGTGCCTCTAGCTCCATAAGCAACATGGCTCGCACCTGTCACAACCACCAGCATACCAGTTCCTCCACCATCTGCCATGGCTTGTAGAATAATTTGTGACATAGCATATTCTTCAACTACTCTTGCTTGGGCAGATAAATATGAACTTGGACCAAAAGGACTGGACGGGTAAGAAGAATTCAGATCATCTGAAGCTCTACGTGATATAGCTGTGAATCCAGAGATGAAACCTGAACCAGCTGGTGGAGCAAATACTTTGCGATCGGCTTTTGAAAGCCCCCTAATACCCTCTGCTTGTACAGTTCTCAAAACCTATTGATATTGTCAAGATCATACATCAAAAACTTGCAAGAAGCTTGAACAAGACTAATAAGAGAACTGACAATGGAAGCCCGCATGAACATTATCTACTTCGAGTTTAATTGGATAATCCATAGGCTAGCTTGTTTCTATTTGAATCGAGTCGTGTTATCTAAGCTTACGAAAAGTGAAGACAATGCATCCAGTTAGAATAAGATGAATTACCCTGAGAGGTATACCGCAAGCAATAAGACGAACTCCGTTTTCACGACAGTAACTTAGAAGAGGTTCGTACTCCTGCCAGCGCTGTGGTGGCCAATGTAAGGTGTAAGACTTCAGAGTTTCCCCATCGATCTTCTTGTCAATGTACTGGTTGAGCTGCTCCTGCAAATTGGAAGGAAACGCTTCTAGAGCCAGAGATAATACCCTTTCGCTTTCAGCACACCTTCTTTTCAAGTTTTTCACAATTTCAAGCTCCAATTCTTTATCGTCTCGAATCGGAACTTGTTCGGCTTCTCCTAAGTAGACGACCCGAGCATTCATCATCTTCTCCCATAATTTACTCTTGTCCTTCCCCACAGCTAAAGGCTCTCCGATGACAGTCGCATCGTAAATCCTCGAAGTAATTGATTCCTCCTCAGGTGTCGAAGCTAGAGGCGGAGGCGGAGGCGGAGGCGATTTCACCGCTTCTAGCACCGGAATCGCTGTCTCTGGCGCCTTCTCTTCCGCTCTGACCACTGCTGATTGTAGAAACCGTGCGCCGATTGCAATTAATGGAACGCCTAGCACGGCTCGTCTCGTACTGAGTATTTGCACGGCTGATTTTTGCCCTACCTCATCGGAACACTCCGAATCTTCATGTGAAAACCGGTGGCAATGAACATAAAAACTTGAGTGGCAATTTTGCCTAATTGAAATTGCACAGCTGTTTCTCCTAGTTGAAATTCCCCCAACAAATCGACACTCCGCAATCGAATTCCGCCGGAGAGAATCCGCCGGAGCAGTATCCCGTGACCGATGGACGGTAGAGCTCGCATGTACAGGTCCACCACTGAGGCCGCCATGGCTATGGAGCTTCATTTCGCGGTAAGGGTGTGGCTGCCCTGTCACTTCCACGTCGTCACAAAAGAGAACCGGTGGAACCGACGAATTGAATTTCAGCCTCGAAATTATATTGCAATATTTTCAGCACATATTTGTTTTATCTTTGATATTTCTTCCGTTGCTTTATAAATTACAATAATTATTATAATTCAAGAATAGTTGAAAATTCTACCAAGAAAAAGTTACGATTTCGATTTTTTACGGTTGAATCTGTTAGACTATACAAAATTAAAAATATCTATTAGATATATTAATTTTATTTATTAAAAATAGGTTAGTTTTAGATTAATACTAAATAGGTCAAAATGTAATTTAGGTTAGTATTGAAACTAAAATAAATTTAAAAAGAGCTTGAAATTACAAAAATTAAATTTTTAATAAATATTTTAAATCGTGAAGTCAATCTCCCTATTTGACTTTTTTTTTTGGGAAGTCGAGAATTGACCTTTGAAATTTTTAGCAATCACATATTAAAAAATAATCATAAAAACACAAATTGAAAGGAGTGATCACAAAATCGGATACGTGAACCAAAAGTATGGGATATGGATGACAGGTAGATACAGAGTCGGAAAATTGCGTGGTTGGAGTGCGAAGCTGCGGATTATTGGCGCTCCTCAACTTGGTGATTGTTGTCATTTTGGGATTTATCTGGTCATTAGAACCGTAGAAGTCAGTGCCCTCTTGTTAAAAAAATAATAATAATTAGATTATGTTATTTATTACTTCATTTCTAAAATTTAATTAACTAAAATTTACAATTTCATTAGCACATTTTTTCAGGCTTCCTCTCCAAGCTTTCACATCCTTTAAGTGGTAGTTTGTTCTCTTCCTCTAATCAACGTGGGATCGCCCCCAAATCGGGGAACAGCGTCCGGTATTCTCTTCCTCCAATCGATGTGGGATCGCCCCCAAATCGGAGAACAGCGTCCGGTGTTCTCTTCTTCCAATCGATGTGGGACCGCCCCAAATCGGGGAACAGCATCTGGTGTCTGGTTCTGATACCCTTATAATAGCGTTCGGTGTCTGGCTCTAATAACATTTGTAACGACTCAGCTCCATCACTAGTAAATATTGTCCTATTTTAGCTTTTTTTTTTCCGGCTTTCTCTCAAAGCTTTAAAATGTGTCTTCTAAGGGGAAGGTTTCACACCCTTATAAGGGGTGGTTTGTTCCCCTCCCAACCAATGTCGGACATCACACACATATTTAATTGATTTGGAAATTTCTCTCCACCAAAAATGGTTATAAATATAACAAATTTATTAATTTTTTTTAATTCCGCCAAAGCTTGTGTCTTTGGTTGAAAATTTGGTGTCTTATTAGCTAACTATAGTCAAAATTGAGAGTGAGCAGGGTAGTTTAAATATTATAAAGTAGGTTAATTATTATATTTTTGTAATTAATTTCACAACGCTCCAATAATGGTTGTTAGTTAATTTTTTTAAAAATCAAATTATTAAAATAATTTTAACTAATTAAAATTAGATTTAATTTATATTATAAATATTATTTTGCAGTCAATATTAATAATTATTTTCAAACAAATAATTTATAAGAAAAATAATTAAAAGAGAAATAATAAATAAAGGAAAGTTGAGATAAATAAACAATTAGGATAGATTATATTGAATTTGTTTGTCTCTTATTCTTTTCCATTCATACTCCAATTTTTTTATGGACCCTAGGTCGTATGACATCATATAAATACGGGTAACAATATATTTTTTTACCTGCTTTCGTCATATCATGGTTGAGGATGGTTAGGAAGAAGTCTGCTAATTTAGGGAATAATCATGAGCATGCCTTATTGAGTATGAAATCTTTTAGGAAAGTCCAAAGCAAAGTCAGTAGAGTTTATGCTCAACCGTGGACAATATCATACTATTATGAGAGTTTACGCTCAAAGTGAACAATATCATATCATTGTGAGAGCTTATGCTCAAAGTGGACAATATCATACAATTGTGAAAAGTCTGATTCCTAACCGTTGCACCATTTTAATTATATATAAAAAATAAAAATAAAAAACTTAATGTAATGATTATTTTGAAATAATTTTTTTTTTAATTCAATAATATTTAGAGGGGGAGAATATTTAAAAATTAATTAATGGACGATACCGTGAGCTTTTGTCTTTGTAACCGCCCTTTTCTATCGATAATACTCGGATCACCCATCCCTTCGGACCCTTCCTTCGATTTTCATGGGGCCCGCAACAAGAACTCATTGCACAATTTCTTTGGAAATTCCATCATGTGAGGATTTAAGTTTTTTTTTTTTATTATTCCGTGGGGCAAGCGGGCTTTCTTCGGTCTAGCATCTTTCGGTTGGGGCCCACCCGGGTTAGACCGCTTGTTAAAAGGTTGTTAACATTGAGATTTCTATCCGGAATAGTGAAATGTGACAAATTTCCCTTATTGGGTACGGGCTTACCGGGCTTACCGGTTACATACAGCTGTGATAGGGGTAAAATCGTAGTTTCACGAACATCTACTAAACTGCCTTGCCTTCCCTCCATTTCCATTAATTGTGTCTATAGGTTTTCAAAAACTCTCCCGGCTTTCATATTTCTTTCTTCACTGTCAGTTCTGTGGCGTTCTTGAGGCATTTGAACAGAGATTTGCCGTCAGCGAGAATTTCCGTTGAGTCTGACGATTTCTTATTCACCTTCCGGTGAGTTTTGTACAATTAGATTTTTCTTCAGCTATATTTTCAAGCATGTTCGTTCATCCTCAACCTCTGTAATAACTCGCATTGCAACTCTTCTTGTTTTAGACAAGTTCTATTTGATCATTCGCTGAGGATAATTCGTTAAGCATTATTAGTGTACAGCATGTATGTTTATTATCGATCGGAAACTGATTTTTAAGGCCTTTTACTTTTTCGTGGATTTTCTTCTATCGCTGATGGCGGTGGAAGGAAGACTGAGTCCTTTACTTTGCAGGAAAAATCCCTACCTCCTTGGACGTAAGATGGCAGTGTGATCTCAAGGAATCTCGGAAAGAGTAAACAGGCTGGAGTTATGTACAATTAAATTTTTCTTCAGCTATGTTTTCAAGCATATTTGTTCATCCTCAACCTCTGTAATAACTCGCATTGCAACTCTTATTGTTTTAGACGTACAGCATGTATGTTTATTATCGATCGGAAACTGATTTTTAAGGCCTTTTACTTTTTCGTGGATTTTTCTTCAATCGCTGATGGCGGTGGAAGGAAGACTGAGTCCTTTACTTTGCAGGAAAAAGCCCTACCTCCTTGGACGTAAAATGGCAGTGTGATCTCAAGGAATCTCGGAAAGAGTAAACAGGCTGGAGTTATTTTTGGTTGCTAGCACAACACAATGCAAGAATGTCTTTCCGAACAATTGTTTGGTTTGCTTACCAGTACCTTTGCTGATCAACCTTTTATTTTCAAGAAATTTACGGTTCTCATTCTCTCATTTATGCGATATCAAATGGATATGTGATGCTTTAACTTCTCCAATAGGATTTCCGGCTTCGCAATTCTAATATGTACGAAATATCGATCCTGGTTTGCCTCTGTTTCTTATCAACTACAGTGTTGGGAAGTTTCATGGTGTATTTGAGGCTACTAGCCAAGGTGACCAGAATATTAGTCCATATGCTTGGACTGCTGATGGCATGGATTATACTCCATATTCTGCACAGGTATTTTATGCAAAACACTTACTGTATTGGAGATGTTTAGACTTGTATAAGATTGTTGGATGCTCATAATATTCAGGATCTCTTATTATTTTGTTGATGAGGTTAAAATTAAGACTGCGGATGCAGTGCCACCTCTTGTTGAAAGATCAGTTTAGGCCGACCATTTCTGACAATTGTTATGAGCCAAAGCTTTCTTTGGTTTGAACTGGACCAACGACAGACAAACAGGTTGATTGCTTTGTTTTCATCTTCACCTATCTTGGAGACTGTTTCCCATCGCAATGAGTGAGAAGTTTCTCGAAAGCTTTACAAACTATCAATGTAAGAGAAGCCAGCAACAATAGTGAGGTATTTTCTTCAAATATAAATGTTGCTTGTCTAGATTCAAAGAAAAAGTGGAGATCCTAGTTCAAGGTCTCCCCTACAAATGCGAGAGAGGATGGTGAAAATTTAAGGAAACCAACGTCTGAATTAAACCTTTCTAATTCAACTCATTCTGGCTACGAGTGGGAGGACCTTTCTTGTACATCACATTCTCCTGAAGAAGAAAGCAAGTCTTGTGAAGCTCCTTCCAATGGTTCTTGAAGACATAGTGAAATTGAAGAATGTCCATTGTTCAAATCAGGAATGAAATTTATTCTTCTTCCTATTCTGATGTCAAAGTTGAAGATGAAGAGTACAAGTCAGCGAGCTGCTTTGGAGGTGAAATGTTCCTTAGTCATATCTTGAAGATGTAGCAGAAAATGTCAAAGGCGATGCACTTTTCAAAAGCGACGAAGAGAATTTGTTAGAGGATAATCACGAGGACATTCAGACTCTTTGGATGAGAATAGGGAACAGTTGTTTAGGAGCTAATAACGTGGTTTGAATTCTGATTGTCAGCTGTAGCTGAGGTACTTGGGCACCCCTTTTTGGTACTTATTTGTTTTCGTCTCCAGTATATGTACCTGTCTATGTTATTTTTTTCCTTCCTTGATGTATAAATGATGGTTTTCTTTTCACTAAAAAAGATACTAGCAGAAGTCAGAGAACTGAAAGTTGTTACACGTAAAAACAAGTTCAGAAATCAACTTATTGCAGCAGGAGCTGGTATGAATCATTTCACGTGACGATGCTTCTTTGTTATTGACATTTGTATCTCTTTAAATTGGAGTTCTGCTTATGTGTTTACGCCTCTTTTAAATTTCCATCTTCTTGATTTACTAAATTGTGGCTGAATTGTATTGTAACACAGGCTGGATCAAAAACTAAAATTCAAAGTTTAAAATGCTGTTGCAAGATGTCGGGAAGTGGCATAAATACTAATAAGATCAGCATGGAAGGAAAATAGCTTCAGTCAACTAAAGCGATGCATGCAAGCCTTGATGAATCTGTATTGATCGTGGGAGGTTTTGATGGTTCTTCTTTGTTATCAATTATGACTTGCTGGTATCCTTCCAGTGATATTATGGGATCTCTTCCTGCAATGAGGTCTGTGCATTCACACGTCTCAACAGCTAAACTTAAATAGTGAAATTTATGTTCTTAGTGGTGTTAATGGAAAAGTAGGGTATGGTAATTGTTTGTGTTAGGAACCACGGATCTCCACCATGGTACGATATTGTCCACTTTGAGCATAAGCTCTCATGGCTTTGCTTTGGGCTTCCCCAAAAGACATGTATTCCTTTACTTATAAACCCACTACCATTCTCTAAATTAGCAAATGTGGGACTCACTTCCAATAATCCTCCTCTCGAACAAAGTACACTATAAGCCTCCCCTGAGGCTTATGGAGCTCTCGAACAGCCTCCTCTTAATCGAGACCCAACTCCTTTCTCTGGAGCCTTCGAACATAGTACACCATTTGTTCGACACTTTAGTCATTTTTTACTACACCTTCGAGGCTCACAATTCTTTGTTCAATATTTGAGGATTCTATTGTCATGGCTAAGTTTAGGGCATGACTCTGATTCCATGTTAGGAATAACGGATCTCCACAATGGTATGATATTGTCCACTTTGAGCATAAGTTCTCATGACTTTGTTTTGGGCTTCCAAAAGGCCTCATACCAACGGAGATGTATTTTTTTACTTATAAACTCATGATCATTCCGTAAATTAGCCAACGTGGGACTCACTCCCAACAATCCTGAATTTTTTTTTATTATTATTGTAGCACATCCTTAGGTGGGTTTAACCTATGGTTATGACATTGCAATTTTTCTTATTTATAGTTGAATCATATAGTTTAGCGGCCCATCAGTGGGTTAGTCGACCTTCATTGAATCAAAAGAAGGAAGTTTGGCTGGAGTATCCTTAAATCATAAAATTTTTGCAATTGGTGGTGGAAATGGAGTTGAATGCTTCTCAGAAGTATAAATATCCGATTTAGACGCTCGAAGGTGGATCCAAGCTCCATCCATGAGACATGAGGTATCTTTCTGTCTTTTAGAATGTATCATCACAAACGCTAGATGAGAGTTTGAAACTTAACTTAGAGAAATGGCTATTGAAGTCTCAACCAATGGGAATTGCTGCTTGGTGTCTCTGAAGCAAGGAAACGGTGTTGCGAAATTCAAGACTATTGTTCTTAGCTTCTCCCATCAGTTTATGCTTCGGTGGTCTATAAACATGGAACTCTCGGAAAGGGTACGTCATTTCAGTCGATGTAGCCATATAAAACAACTTATTTCATGATTGAAAGTAATTTTTCATTCTTATGCCAAGCTTTTAAACCTGTATCTCGCAGGTAGTGTGTTACGAGTTTGGGGGTTAGTCAACCCCACAGCATTTGGCAAAAGATGCTTTTTCTCTGCCGTCGTTTTGTAAGTTGAGCAATTTATGGGCGTTTGGGGACAATGTATTATGCATTATGTTAACGAAAAGTAAACAATGTACATAAGAAATTAAAAATATTGATATGAATTGTTGTAAAAAGTTAGGTAGGATCGCGATGGATGAGGGGAGAAGCTTAATGGACTGTTTGTTTGCAGGCTTGTAGCTATTCTCCTTTCTAGGGATATTCTTAACTTGCTCCGGGCGTAGAAAGAAAAAAAAAAGAATCTAGTGTCACTATGAGGTGGGATATTTTCTTACTACTGTTTATACTTAATTGCATTCCAGACTCTCAAATCACTTTAATTACTAGCGATGTAATCTTGAATGAGTAATAATATTTTGTTTTGTTTGAAGAATATAATTTTTGTGGGTTTAATAAATAGGGGCATGGTTGAAGAGGTTGGAGCACTGGAATGTGAAATCAAGGTTTTGTCAAGCAGAGGCGTGAAGGTTTGTGACTTTCTCCGATAACTACTTCGTAATTTCCTTATTAAGATATTTTAGAGAGTAAAAAAGGTTACTTCGAGAAATTTTATTGAGGAGATTTAAAGAATTTGTTAGAGAGAGAACGACCGGTTGGCTAGAGAAAAATAATTTAGACAGTTATTTTAATGAGAAAAAAAGTTGAAGCTTTAGAGGGGGAAATAAAGAAAATATTCTGGGGAGGATATAATTTGGAAAGCAAGATATACAAGAGCGAGAAAGGAAAGGGAGAAAAAATCACATGAAGGGAAACTAAGTCTTAGAGTGAAGGAATATTTATAGTGTTTTATAAAATCATAGGTAAACAATTCTAACTTTTAAAATAGTAGCTAAATTCTTTTTTTTTTTTTTCTTCAACTAGAATCAAATTGTAATTAAGCTTTTAAACTTAATAGAAAAATTAAAAGTTAGAAAGATTATCAAAAACAATTTTTTTTAAATGAATTCAAAGTTGAGAGTATTACAAATTTGAACTATCCTCAACTTTGCTCACTTGGAAAATTGAAAGATGATAGTTGCTTATATTTGTTTGGGCAACCATTTGATTTTTTTTTTTTCCACTTTCTCAAGGAAAATCTTGCGTTTTTAGTCATTTTCCAAAAACTATGTTTTTATAGTTTTCAAAACTTAGACATGTTTTTTTTTTTTTTTTTTTT